AAGAAAATAGAAATTACCTCAATGGCCATGTCCAGTAAAAGGGTTGGAAAAAATTGCCGAAGCTGCGTTTGGCATGCTTTTGCATTCCATATTTTATTTAAAAGCTCTTTAATTAAAAATAAACAGGCAAACATAAATAAGGAAGCTAGCATGTGGGAAAGCAAAGGGTTCATCTCTAGCATCCTATTTTATATAAATAATGCACACCCTTTAGGGCTGACTTCCCATAATATTAGCCAATTTATGTCCTTTGCCCTGTAGCTTCTGAGAACAGTAAGTACAGGGGAGGGGGCATCATAAAAGAGAAGTTACTAACTTGAATATAATCTGGAAGGGTTGAATCAGCTCTGTAGCACTTTCCTAGTTCCTTCTTCTAGGACTCAAAACTTTTTTTTTTTAAACATGAATAAAGATAAAATATAAAATGGATAGATTTCAGGATTCCAAGATATACATGTCTCATTTTACTAAAACCTCAAGGTCTACCAACGTGCTGGGGATAATTATTTTGCTGCTGTCCATGCCTTTTGACCATTCCCGGTGTAGACAACATATCATGCTAGTTGATCCAATTGGCATAGCAGGACCAGTGATTGAACATTCAGAACGCATCTTGCTGCTGTTCAGCTAGCCAGTCTGTTATCTTCCCTCTCAAACTTCTATAGTTTCTCTTTTGTTTTTAGTTAGCATGTTGGTTGCCTTGGTACATGCAAAACAGAATTAATCTGTTCCTATAAAATATACATGAGCAAGAATTGCCTGCAGATTCACCAGGCATGTATTTGTCTGAGTGCTAATTTGTGGAGGATTGAGGGGCCTCTATCTGGTGTAATCAGCCCAAAGTGATTATGCAAAAGATTATGCAAACACATTCAGGTAATGGAATGGTGTGATTTTTCCTTTGGCTGTTAACATTTCTGTTCTCAACATGTTCCTTTAAATCAATGTGAAAGTTCCGTTCCCTGGTTCAGGATGAGTGTCCTGAAGTTGATGTGTTATAGTGCTTAGAACAGTGTTTCTCAACCTTGGCAGCTTTAAGATGGGTGGACTTCAACTCCCAGAATTCTGGGAGTTGAAGTATACCCATCTTAAAATTGTCAAGGTCGAGAAACACTGGCTTAGAGTGTTAAGAAAGATCAAAGAGGCCCACCTAGACATTTCTGAGCGTTGATGTTCACAAGACGTTCTTGAGCAAAATCTTACCTTAACAGCTTGGGCAGGAGGATAGACTCGGAGAAAAAATTCTGGGTCAGAAAGAGAAGTGCCTTTCTTTTTTGTAGAAAGAATGGATAAAGAAGAAAACTGATGGAATAGATCTTCTGGTTTCCTAAATGAAGATGCTATTATCTTTTCTCATATTCTTGTAAACATAAATTTGGGATTTGTTATGGTGATGTTTTGAGCTTATTTGTTGAGATGGAAAAATAAAGGTTTTTCTTTTTCTGTGATTTAGCCTTCTATCTCCTTACAGTCTCCATGGTTGCCTCTTCTTCCCTACTTGAAGAAACCCTCATGAGGGTAGGTAGATTACAGGATATCTTTGAAGTATAAAAAGTGTAAGAAGTCAGGGAGGCTGCTAATTACCAGAAGATGAACTGCGCTGTGCACAGAGCCTTTGGTTACTTTTAGTAAGGGAGTCCAAGAATATTATAGCCCACCAGTGAAAATGTCACCAATATATTCACCTTTGTGGGACTGGAACCTAAAATACTGTTTGCCACCTGGAGTCATTGCTGAGAGGACTCTACAAATTGATTGATTAAATAAATTATTTATTTCAAATTAAACTGAATGAGAATAGTAAGGAAACCCCTGCCCCCGCAGACACAAACATATTCTTTGGCACAGCCCTAAGAAAAATAAATAGTAAGAGAGCTCAGAGATCTTCATGCAATCCTTTCTCGCTGTTTTCTTATGGGGTTGTTTCCCATAAATGTTTCCAGCCTAAACATGCTCTCTTTGAAGTAAGTTCTATTGATTTTGATTGAATTAATTTTCAAGTAAGACTACTATAAGATTGCAGACTTCTTTTAATTTCCAGTTTATGATCCACTTATAATTTGAGTAAGAGCATGTGGGTTATATTACTCTTTCCCTAGAGGAGGCTAGGTTAGTTCCTCCCTTCCTTTTTTTTTCAGATAGCTGCTGAAGAAGATAATATGCCATTGAATTTTTGATGGTTAATGTTGCTTTTATATGTTTATTATATTGGTTTGTTTGCCTGGCTGAGTTCCAGTTTTGTTTTCCTTACTCTGATGTATTATTACTCTTATTATTTTTATATGAACATCACCTTCAGGGGGTATTCCAAACATATATTAAATAAACAAATGATCCATACCTATTTTTAAAAGGGTATTTTGTTCAGAGGATCACAGAAGTCCGGTAAGAGAAGTGGGTGTGAACAAGCTGTCGGTTTGGAAGATGCAAGCCTTCCCATTATACTCTCAGCAATGTCTGGGCTCATGTTGCCATTCTCCACTTGATTTAACGATGTGAAAAGAAAATCACCATACAGTTCTATTAGATTGAAATGGCAGAATCCACCAGACATTCCACTGCAGTAATGATAATGCATTGAGTACATTAGCATAATAGCCAAAGTCCAAAGTAATATACAAACAGATTGTACTTGGGAAAGAGGCAAACTAAAAATATGCATATATTCAGGAAAGTTATGTACAACAATGTACACACTGGGATGCTTTGCATGGAAAATGAATGTATGTGGTTGATAAGATTGCATAATTCACTAATTATGACTTTGGGTGGCTAACATAGGATTAAAAGCACAGAACAAAAATAACAAAATAAACATAAAAAACACAAAGACACAATACAACTGAGGCCAAACCGCAGTCATGCCCACATTCCCAAAAGTGTTACAAGATGGGAGCATCCAAAACCCTAGCCCAACGCCTAGGGAAAAATCAGGTTTTCAAGGCCTTACAGAAGGCCAACAGGGTTGGGGCCATCCAACTCTCAGGCATGTTTTGCAACAGAAAAGGCAAACCTCAGGTGACAGTGTTGCATAGATGGGATCCAAAGCATGCTCACTCTGTCAGATCTTAAGGGATGGGCAGAAACAATAAAAAATGGGAGGTCTCACAAATAACCTGGCCCTATGTCATGAAGGGTTTTATAGATGGTAACCAGGATCTTAAACTGCACTTGTAAGCCTACAGGGACCCAGTGCAGCTTGCACAGTAATGCTGTTACATGGCCCTACCATGGTGCATTCATAATTGCCTGCACCGCTGCATTCTGGACCCATTGTAGCTTCCAAGTGGTCTTCAAGGGCAGCCACATCTAGGGTTCATAGTGGGAGTCCAAGTGAGAGGTAATTGAGGCATGAATAACTGAGGAGGACATCCCAATCCAGGAATGGGTTCAGTTGGATTTGTGCGAAGGGCTTCATGGACATGGCTGCCACCTGCTGTGGTAGGAGGAGCCAAGAGTCCAAGAGGAACCTCAAATTGCATATTAGTTCAGTCTGGGGGAGTGTAACCCTGTTCAGAACTAAAGATAAAAGTCCTCAGATCTGGAGGGATAAAACATACATCCTACCTGTGTTGCTTGGGTTAAGCCTGAACCTGTTCTTCCCCATCCAGATCCCCATAGCTCAAGACACTGGGAAAGAACTTTGAAGGCATTACTTGGTCAATCTGGGGTGGAGATGCATAACTATCAACAATGTACTGAGCATACTTAGTCCCATGCTGATGGATGACCTTACTCCATGGTTTCATGTAGGTGTTAAATAGGAATGGAGAGAGTAGAAAGTTCTGAGGAACCCTACTAAGATGGCTGTAGAGATAGATGTCACGCCCCATCAACATTGACTGGAACTGGCCCCAAAAGAAGGAGGAGAACCACTGTAAGACCATGCAGAGAGATACTAATATCAAAGGCTGCTGAGTGTTTAAGAAGAGCCAGGGTGGTTGCACCACTCCCATCTCAGCCTTGCCAAAGGTCATCTCCAAGTGCAATCAGTGCTATGAACCCTGACCAAAAAGGATCCAGATAATCTCTTTCCTCCAGGCCTTTCTGGGGCTGCAATGTGCAGGGAAGGTTGGAGACAGGATGAAAATTGTCCAGCGGAGTTGGATTTAGTGTTGGTTTCTTAAGGAGGGGATGGATGACCGCCTCTTTAAGTGGAAACCCACCCCCTCGCAATATGTATATGTTACAAAAAAATTGCACAAAGAAACACAGATTAGATTAGAATCAGTAATGTTGGGAAAGTTTGCATTAAAACTATGCTTGTGGGAAGTGTCATACAATATATCTGGGCAAGATGGGTGGCATATAAATTTAATTAAATAAGTAAATGTACAATTTTACTTATTTTTTAAAGACATTAAAGACAGTGGAATGGAAGAAGTGAATCCATGTGACTTAAACATTCATTAGTGTTAAACTGATATGCGTATCTTTCCCTGTCTAAAACCTTGCAAAATGTGAGGTTGAAGTTGTGAATGAGGGTATCTAAGTGTGAAAAAATGTTATGCACTCAGTTCTGTATAATGAAGTTGAAAATCCACCCACCATGGCTATCCTTGATTTGTGTGTGTGTGTGTGTTTTAATATTTTATTGATTTTAAATTGTAGTTTTTGTATTGTTTTGGTGTTTTTATATTGTTAATTGTTTGTGAACTGCCCAGAAACATATATTTGAGATGGGTGGCTCTATACATTGATATAATACATAAATAAATAAAGTTGAACACAGCAAATGTATTTCCAAAATTCATCTTCCACCTGTTTATGTGAAGTATGAAAAAGGCATAGATTTGGATGCCTAGATTCAAGACAAGCAAAAAGCCCTCAGTTAGGTAAGCTGGGATGTGATTTTTAACATCCCCAGGATTGGCTTAAGGTTCTTTTCATGATGTTCCCAATTTTAGCTTCATTTGATGTTCCTCTAGTTCTTGTTCATTTTAGGAGTAAGAAATGTCTTCTCATTCTTTTTATCTCTCTTTCCCATCTACTCATTCAAGTTCCTGGAGGCATAGCTTCAGAGTCCCTCACATTCACCCCCCTGGAGGACATGATTTTTCTGAAATGGGAGGAGCCAGTGGAACCCAATGGTCTCATAACACAATATGAGGTATGCTGTAAGATCATTTTGGGGAGGTGGGTATTCTGCATGTTTTTCCCTTAACTCTCTTTGTTTGTTGTTTAGTCGTTAAGTCGTGTCCGACTCTTCGTGACCCCATGAACCATATTGCGCCAGTCCTTCACTGCCTCCCTGAGTTTGCTCAGTTTCATGCTCATTGCTTCAGTGATGCTATCTAACCATCTCATCCTCTGCCGTCCTCTTCTCCTTTTGCCTTCAATCTTTCTTATCTCTCTTACCATCTGCCAAAGTCAGAAAAAGAAGGTTCCTGTTAATGCATTAATTAAATTTTGCTATGAGTATGAATAATAGTCTTGAAGTATAAGTGAATTCTTGCTTAGAGATGTTGTATGCATACTCTCTAACAGAGGTGATCTCAGGAGAGAGATTCTATTCTATATGAAAGATAAGAGGGAATTCCAGTTTTAATAGGATGCTACCACCCTAGCTACATATACGTATTTCACATTCTTGTAAGTGAAGTACATTGTGGCTGATCCTAAAAAGCTAAGTAGGGTTGGATATGGTTAGTAATTGGATGGGCAGCCAACAGAAAATCCCAGGGAAGTTGAAGAAACATACTGGAGAAAGTCAATGGCAAAGCACTTTTGTATTGTGGCCAAGAAGACTACATGGACATGTCTATAAAGGCATCAGAAGTCAAGCTTGAATCGAAGGAGAACTTACATTTATAAAAAAAATCTTACTTACATATTAGGGCATCATTTTAGTCAAATATTTTATGTTGTGTTAATGGGTAGACAAATGAAATATTGCAGGTCTATTTCTTTTGTTCTTTTATCAAGTGGTCTTTCTGCAGAATTGCGAACCAATGTATGATCAGAAGCAGTGCTTCGCTTTTTTTTTCACCAGCTGTCATTGCTGATTTGGGTCTGTTAAAACAACAACCACAAAAATAACAACACAATCAAACATCTCATCCAAGCATCATCTACATTCAACATACCCAAGTAATGGCATCACCAGAGGGTTACCATGCCAAATTGTACTCATTGAAGAGACATGCATATATCCATCCAGTTTCAGTTCTACACACATAGCTGAAAAGATGATATTTTATGTGTATAATTGTCCCTCCTAGTTTTGTTTTGTTTTTAAGAAAAAGTCAACACCTTTTCAAGGGCATATAAAAGCTTTGAGGAAGAGTTAAACAGAAAAACCACGCAAGGGAAAATGATCAACCCCTCTTCCCGGCACATTATGGTGGCTGGGGGATTCTGGGGATTGTGATCCCAGCACATTGGGGTAAAGGCAGCAGGTTGAGGGCTCTTTCCTCCCCCCC